CTTATTGGATGTTGCAATCATAAAACACAGCACAGAGGAATTTTATGGACAAGTTTTGGGCGGCAGCACTACACTAAAACAGCAAATTATGCCACATTCTCTCATGACTCACATTAAATAAAAAAAACTGCGCATTTTTGTCGTTGGACTTCTACTCCCACATGAAAAAACACAGTTTCCAATACATTTTCACATTAAATGTGATGCAAGTTACACAATCAACTGGGAAGCGGATATTAATTCACTTACTACAAGCCAACTTTCAGTGTTATTACAGTAAATATTTATTCAAGAAAAGCACATTATTGTAATACAAAGTAATTTCCTCCATTTCAAATTTTTCACCATTTCGCCAAGTATCGTAAATTTGGATGGAAGTCCAGCTTTATGTTTGTTATATATACCATCCTGCCCACTCTCGTTTGTTGTTAGTTTAATCCCTTTTGTCCCTTTATCAACTCACCTAATAGCTTAATAATTGATTTTCTATTATACCTCTTCCATGGTGAATACACACAATAAAATTATTCTCTCTCTCTCATTCGCTCACTCTGTGCTCCATGTAAGAAGTGGAACAATATCTCAAGAACTACATAAAATTATTCAACCCCATATAGAATCTGACACAGTGTAACGGGGAAGAATAAAATCTCGTGATCCGTACAATAGTTGTGTTGTATTGTGTGAGATAGCAACGAATGCCTAAAAGTTCTTTTATTTGAAAATTCATGACTTCGAGAGATTCAACAATAGAATATGATATTTCACGTGTTTTTATTAAAAGGAATACAACAGACAGTGAGCGATATTTTTGACAGACTTACTGCCTGTTTCGCAACAGACATGAAGATTTATTGCCGTCGAGTGCTTAATCATCAGTAGTTAAATGTTTCTCTACTCATGGCGGGATGTTGTGTATTGGTATGGGGAGGAGAGCGCATTATGTTGTTGAAACTTTTCATCATCTGCGATAGGCCTTTAAGAGAATGTAATGAGTCAGGAGTGGTATCGTGAAAGTGCTCAAGGCATATTACGGCCCATCACCTGCGATTATATTATCTGAAAACCATCCAGAAACGATAAAGGAATACGCTTTCTCCACGCTGTGAGAAAAGAAACACGCGCGCAATTGAACTCAGCTCTTTGGCATACAAGGAGCGTTATTGTCACCACGAGCTGAATAAAATTCAATATCAAAGGATATCCTTGTATTATAGCAAAATATATTCTTCTCTGCTTTTCTATTTTTTCCCTCCTCCGTGGCGCTCCAATCTCAGCGATATACTTTGCTGTGTGTGCCCCAAAATATTTGGGAAGGACTTTTGCTTCAAAAACACAAAAATTATTTCTTATTTGTGGCACACACAGACAAGTGGATTTTCTAGGACATCCATTTATGGTTGTTTTTCGACTTTTTATACTCCCTCTTTTTATGTATATCTCTGCGATATCCCAGCCATGGTGTATACATATTTTCCACTATATAATGTGCAATCTCTGTTTGCGTCTGCACGGCTTATTGGGCTAACTTCCCACTCAAACCTCGTTGCCCATGTGATCGGTGGAGAGGGTGTGAAAATGGGGGGATGGAAAGCGGGCGGATTGCTTTCATTCCGGCCACCAAATACAGTTTTCCTTTTACAACTATACAGCTCTATGGCTGAGGGGAGTCAGAGCGATTGTTTGCGCTACATTTGTCTGATTTACGATTGTTTAACGTTTTCGTGAATTCACAAGGCTGATTTCTGCTCTTGTGCGGTAAATGTTTCGTTTGCATGGTTTCTCAATTTCACATACATATTATCATGTTAGATAGCACCCAGGTTCACACAAGGGAAATGAGTCCACCAATATACCCAAGAGATCGCACAATTAATGTGTCGAATGGGAAATGTACAGCATTCATCATTTTCATATTTTCGAGAAAGTGTGTCTGCATGAATGGAGATTTCCGGGAAGTGAATTTTCCTCATATCCACATCAGTGATATTTTTTTTATTATTGCACATTATAGTTTTGGTAAACATGACAATTCAACTCCAAATATGTATGTACACAAGTATAAAAGGGAAAACGTAACATTTATGCACGCTAAGCTGGTATATAACGTTATAAGAATACATTGAGAAAGGGTAACTAAATGGGAAATATAAAGCTCACAATTTTCGTAGAGATTTCTCCGTCGTCTTTTAATCGTAAATTAAATGTGATTTATATATGTACGGCGTATATGGAGGAAAGTTGCCTTATGTAGCATCGCTATATCACATTATGTGAACCTATATGTACACCTACATATATATTCAAAGAGGATAGAGATGGGAAAATCTTCATTTCTTATCCTTCTCATATTATTCCGTCGCAACTGGGATCCTTTTTTAATATTTTGATTAACACGAGATATTTAAAGTGTGTCTTATAAATACGCAATTATTCGTCCACCCCGAAAAAATGAAGAAAAGCGTAGTATAATGAATAACAGTGGGAATTTTTAATTACTCGCTCCACCCAAGGCTCGCCTTATTAAAATTTTATAGTGTAGCGCAGTGAGAGGGACAAAAGAGTGGGTCCAAAAACGCCCTCCTCCCATTCACCATTGTACCACTTCAAACTAATAATTTATATATAAATTATCCGCTCTGACGATTCCCTCATACACAAACCAGAAATGTCGGAGAGCGAGAGAGAGAAAAGTGTCTCACGTCGTCGTGAATAATATAGTTCAATTTCAAAGGACACCACAGATGTCTTCTCAAGAATTAGAGAGAAGAGGCGGAGAGAAAGATAGAAATAAAAGTGGTAGTCACAACATGCTGTAGAGTTAAAAGTTGATTGCAATGTGACATGGTCCATGACCATTTCGATTACATTTATACACTTTACAAATAACATTCCCTTGGGACATATTTAGCATCTGCAGGAATAATGTTGAACATCATTGCAGAGGCAATACATGTGAAATTGCTAAAGTGCCACTACTCAGCCATACATCAAAGCAAAACACTATTATGTCTTTCATATAAGCGCTGTTCGAAGAATTTATTTGGACACTTCGCATACAAGTATTATCTGTCAAGAGGGCACAAATATCTTCGAAGATTTGCTAGAGAAAATTTAAAGCCCGCTCTCTCTCTCGCTCTCAAAATTCTCTTTGGTTCCTCTTCTCGTCTCAATTGTGAACCACAATGCCGGTTGGCCAACAATGGAATCACACATTCCATGCACGATTTATGCTTATCGCAGACTATTTCAATTCCTATTGTTTCCGTGTATTTTTGCACCGCAATGTGACAATAAATCCTCGAGGTTTAATTGCAATTGAGTGGAGCGCGCGAGAGAGAGAGAATTGTCACAAAAAGAAATTCCACGGAATACCAATTTTCACTTCGGCCCCGAGGATAAAAAGCTGTATTAATGGTTGTTTGAGAAATAAATTTGAACAACTCCAACCGAGACACTGCGATGTCAGCTGCTTCAAACTTTTGTGCTATTTAATTTGAAATAAGTGTATTCACAGGACTGCATTATTATTTTTGCGCTGTAATCGTGAAATTTTCATTTCTAATTAGTTCTCTGATGGCCTACTTTAGACGTGAGTGGACCATCTTCATGCTAATGTTACACTCATGATGCCTAAATAATTGCATAGATTATAGTATAGACCCAGCGTATAATGGTATGAGGAGCAAAAGAGATGATTTGCATCAGAATAAACTCGACAATTTAACACAAGTGCACCAGCGAGTGCCACGAAATGGCCAATTGACTGACACGCAGTAGAAAATTTTGCATCACACCACATTAAATTAATTATGTAAAACGTGATAATTTCATCAAATACACCTCTCTAACCCGCTCTGAATGTTGATACACAGAAAAACTGTATGCGCGCTTATCTTCTTCGTAATTTTGTTTGGATAGGTAATTCTTCTTCATCAACCGCGATGGGTTAGTGTCGTTGCAAATGAAATGGCAGCACATTGTAAATAAAAGGCACGTGAAATGCGGCAAAATAAGCAAAAGTCACCCCCTGAAGTGAGAAAAAGCTTATTTTGTATCAATAAACAAATACCCGTTTTCCACCTTTCCACAGTCTCAAGGGAATTCATCCGAAACATATTATTTCAGCAACGTCAGTGAATACATTCTATGTATGTATTTAGCAAAAAAAATATAACCTGAATATTGCAGATGATAGGCGTTACAAAAAGCCATTCGTGGTGACACAATGAAAATGTGACACATTTTCCCTCCATTTCCATCCAATTGCTATTGCGACCGCAGAAAAAAGTCTATGCCAGAATGATATTTATAACATTTGAGATTGAAAATTAATGTTATGTACGTGCTAATAACACTTTCGCCAATTAAAATTTTATGGCGAACTCTAGAATTGGAGAAAAAATGTGTCACATTTTTATTATTACAGGTGATGTGGTTTGGGTGGAAACCATAAGGCATAATTATGATGATGTTGTCAATTAACAATAAAGCGAAATCGCAAAGCATAAATAAATCAGTATTGGCTGAATTGATGTGGAAAAAAGTCCGCAGATTTGGAATTTATGAGTAGATAGTTGGTGATTTATTGATAAAACAGGTGTATGGACGTTGACGTTCACTTAATATTTATGTATAGTATTCTCGGGGGTATTTTTGGCGTGAAGGCAAAACCTCCTTAGACGACATATTCACGTATTTTCGCATGATGCGTGTATAAGAAAAATAAGTGATGCATGAAATGGAAAGTTTTCTTTCATACCATTTAAAATATGCATATGTATCTATATTATATTTTTATAATATAAAAATAGAAAACTCATCCGCCTATGTGGAGTGAAAAGTCTAGTAATCTTCTTATGGAAATATCGCACGGTGGTGAGTGATTTAAACACACACACACACACACACGCGTAAATGTACAGAAACCCTCATTTTTTCATCCACCCTCAATGGAACATAAAATAAGAGTGTATGATATCGGTTACTGTGATACTTACAGAATTTACAGCTGCCATATCTTCTTGCTCTGCTCAGTAGATTCACGTTGATTCGAGTATACAGAAAACCAGTGACATTAGATATTGTGGATACAGTATCTGGAAGAAAGAAGCAGGAAATGGAGAGTGAGATGAGCAGTTTAGAAGCGCATAAAAACATACAATGTTTTTTGACAGCAATTTTTGGCATACATCTCACATGAGGAACATGAACTTATTTTAGCGTGCGGCCCGTCGCGACAACAATGAATTTAATTCACTTCAATCCTATCGCGTCTCCGTGGCATCAAACCAAGATTCTTAGACTATTTTCTTATTTATGAGTAATGCTGTGAATTGCATGTTACGCATTAATTGCATTTTCTAATTTTATCAACTTTCATCGAAGAAAAAGTGTGGCATTGCCAGAAAAATGCCACGAGAGGGAAGAAGAGAGGCGGATTCGTCACAGTTAAACTTGAGGAAATTTTCATGTCACCATTTTCGCGCGAGAGAGAGGAAAGAATCGTCAGCTCACACGAAACTTTCTGTCCGTATAAATGTCTCGAGACTTTGAAAAAATTATGAGCCTCTTTCTTCTAATTTATTTACCCCTTCGCGATGATCTTACAACGTGAGACTATAATATTTATTTTTACTAATGAAATTCTCCACCCACATTTGTTTTAATTTTCCTCTAAAACACGCTTTAATTCTCCGCAATCTTAAGGTTAATTTGATGGGAGGCTCCTATACTATATTGTAGAATCTACGAAAATAAATTAATTAGCATCTGATAAATTGCTATAAACGTATTATCACACACTTTGAGTCTTAAATCGTGTCACTATAGACCATTGTGTGTACGTGTGCGTTTTTTATAGAGAAAAATTTCCATGCCAAAAAGCGAGAAAAAGCGGGAGATTAATTTCTTCGAGAGACAGAGAGAGGGAATTGAAAGAAAGATTAGAAATGTTTCAAGTTCATCTATATTTTTATGTGACGATTGTGCCAAGGCGTCTTTTTTCCTCACACCCATTCCATTTGACTTTACAGAACGCCAGACAGAATGACATTATACATAAGACATGTAATATACGTACATATACTTTGGTGTTCAAAATATACGGCCATGTATATTAGAAGTGTAATAAAGTGACATTATAATATGTGTAAAAGTCTCGCTGATGTACGGATATATTGATATTTATATGGACATGTGGCGGCAACTTGAGTACGTTATATTGCATTTTATTGTGCTCATGGATTTATTTAATTTTTCCTAAAATCACATGCGAAGATGTGAAATGAATTTTCAGCCAAAAACCACCCATTTTGAGCACGTGTACAGGAGCTGAAATTACACTTGACAATGCAGATCTCAGCTTAGTTCGCATGGGTTGAAGCCTGATTAAGTTATGGAGACAATTAATTACTCTCATGGTCGTAAATTGGAGGAACCAACATAAAATTTCACCCTTCTCCTCCACAAGTGTCTTAATATCTGCAATAAATTAGGTAAAGGTAATAATATTACTCATATCGTTTCACCATCTCAAGGAAATTTCCATTCTTCAATCACATAAAATTTAACTATTCCCATAAGTTTTCTAAATTTGCAGAATATCGCCTCCCGAAGTGTAGCGACAAAATGAATTAAATATCAAATAAAAGCTTGTGCGTGAGATAAAAAACGTTTAAAATAAAGTGAAGGCAACATTAGAGGCTTAACAACAGAGGGCAAAAAAAGTGAGGAGAAAACTTTTTTCTCTTTCGAGTAAGAATAGAGGACACGAAATATAAGATACTAAACGAAAATACATTTAAAAATGTACATATAATGAATCTCACTTTATGTCAAATGACGACACCATTTGGCACTCATTCAGAATTTATTTTGATGACTTAAAGTGATTTTGTAACTAAAACAAAATTCCTCAAATTGCTCACATTTACTCGTGTCAGTTCCTCAACATTTAGCTTATGAATCGGTAGATTGGTTCTCTAGCACTGCGCCTTTTCGAAAAGGATGAATAATCCCTACCCAAAATCAATCTCTGTCCATCGATATATTCAGTTGGAACACGAGCACAGCGAATAACTAATTAAGTTCATGCAAACCCGAGAGCAATTTTACTCCATTCGAAATCTCTGCAGAGGTAAACACGCGACCGGACGAATCACGAGAAAAACATCTCAGAGTTTTCAGTGATCAATATTGCTATATGTAGAGCATGTTTGACGCGTTGATGGCTTGTGAATGGAGCCTCATGAGTGATTTTGTGCATGTGAAAGGCATGACTCATGTGTCCATATGTAAAAATTAAGACACTTTTGTACCAAACAACACCGCAATGATATTTCAACATATGCTGAACAGCTAATGATGATTTTTCGCCTTTCTCGCACTGTACTCGAAAATCCCGACGTAATTGGAACCAATTTTATAGAATAGAGCGCATAAATATAGACAATATATCGTTCACATGTCGAAAATAAACAACATAACAGAAAATGATGCATTTCCCCTACTCGAATACACACAAGACAAACGATAAGCTTATGGGAAAAGAAGAAAACAAGCAGCTGATGAAGGAAATGTTGACTTAGGTAGCGTAAACTGAATCGATTACGAGAATATTTTAGCGTTTATTCATTAAAATTAGGTTATTTTTTCACCTCTGCGTACACAAATTTTATGCTAATTTAATTATACCTGAGGCAAGTGCAATTAAATTATGAATATACCTAAATATTTTTCTCCTGTTTCAACCAAATATATTTTTCACTAAACGGTAGATGAGTGTTGCTCAGAAAACATTGCCAAGCTGACTCACTCGTTATCGATTTAAACTGAACTGCTAAGTAAAATTTTATGCCAAAAAATCGATTGTGCATAAATATATAATTCGATCAACAAGAAATACAAAGCTTCTCTAATAAAATTCAGACTTCAAAGGGGAAACATTGTGGATGCACATTGTTTCTCGATTGCAGAACGCGTCGGCGAATTGAAAAGAATTGCGATCGAATCTGTTTTATGATGGAGGCTATTCCGAAACCGTAACACATTGAATTGCGAATGCATGCAAAATATTCTCTGCCATTCTAATTGTAATTGACAAAATCTATTTATCCGAATAGATGATTCTCTTCTGATACACACATATATCATACACAGTCAGTCGATATTAATTGGGTGCAATAAGCAATGTGCAGTTCTATGAGACGCCGGAGTATGTAGAATCTGTGATTAAAAAATATGTACCAGAGGGAAATGGGTATGTTAGATACTAAATATCGGAGTCATCAGAGAGACCACCACCTGTCGTTGTCACTCTTGTATTTCTTAATTTTCCCTCGTACACAGAAGACAAGCGAAGATATTCAAAATTTTCACTTATATACCCAACAACCAATTGTTGAGAGGAGGCAACACTTCTACAAAATTAGATTTCGCGTGTCTCATATATGCAAATAAAAATAATCACCTTATAATAAATGTTTCAACACGTTTTTATGCTCCTAAGAGCACTGCTGGCGAACATTTAAATTGAATATGTGAAAAGTCTTGGAAGGCCCACCGAGAGACTGCAGATCTGAAGGCAACACTTCTTTTCTTTTCGTTAAAATTCCTGAACATCATAAATGTGCATAGAGAGCATTTTAATCTCCTAATGGTGTATATAAGACATGTACTTCTAATTCAATTATCTATTTTGTGCGGAGCATTAAAAGGCGTTTGGCTGGCGGCCAAATAAATGAGACGCGCGCGATCGTGAGACAAATCTCAGCAGAGTTGATGTGTTACTCCATAATTACATTCACAAATCAACCAAAGAACAAACTAGATGCGTGTAATCTCTAACGAAATGAAAAGATGGCGTGGGCCAAAAGGGAGGCGAAGCATCATCTAGCGATGAAATAGCACTTTGATATGATTTGAGAGATGCGATCCATTTTCATAATTATCTTCGAGAGATGGCACGTGATGTTTTTATCAATAGAGTATTTGCTAAGATGTCTTGAGGGTAAAATTGAGAAGGAGTCACTCTGGATACACAGAGAATTTGTACAGCGGTAGATTAAAATATCAAGCAATCCTCGGGAAAAGAATGAGAGAAACAAATAAACAAAATAAATAACGAGAAAAGGCTTGAAGTTCCAGGGTAAAAAATATATTTTCCTTTCTAGTATACAGAATTGAGTATAATATTGAGGATGCTGGGCAGAGAGAGGTGACTTTCTACCTTCAGGATGAGGAGATTCAATCCCATATAGAGCCTTAAATACCAATTTCTGATACTATCATACCAGTGAAAACCCTCAATTTATATTCGCTGTTTATTTATAAACCACTCTGCTGTGTTGCAACAGCGACGTTACTTCCATTTCATTACTTTTATATTTGCTATTCAGATCAATAATGAAGCTCCCCAAGTATTATGGTAGTACGTTGGAGGGGATATAGAGAAAATTCCACTCCCTGACTGTAAGATCTTCTTTAACACTTAATACCATATTATGTAGTACAATGGGAAGGAACTTGGAACTTGACCAAGTCTGTATTCCCACACGGTTTCGCCTCCTCGCTCTCGCTCTCCCCTTCTTTCTCATTCAGCGAAGTATATTCAATACATGATAAATTATGAGAATGACTTTGGGAGATAGCATTTGGGATTATTGAAAAGAGTCGGCAAAAAAGTCTTCAAGACAAAAAAAATATATGGAAAGCCACCGTTTCGCATTAATTGGTTTTTCTCTGGGAAAAGAGAGTGATAAGGATGTGAGTGGGTTGACGTCTGAAGTATTTCTTGTTTGCCATTTCCGTTGCTACAATATTACATCATTACTAACTTCTCCACGTATTTTCTTATGTTTGTCTTCTCGAAACTCATTAACAATTTCATCTATTGCACACTCTCAACTACCACTCAGGCAGGACTTTTACGTTAAGCTCCACTCCCATTCAGCTCCCGCACACCCCATTGATGTTTTATGGCACAGCGCAAACGACCGCCAGGACAAAAAGAGTTTGTATGAATATTATGTAAAATATTGTACACCAGCGCCCACCACAGATATTCAAATATACCCAGAAATTTTTTAATCCTCGATGGGATTGTGAGATAAGTTGGAATATAATTTCCTTTGGTGTGGCAGAGAAAAGAAAAGAAATAGATTGCACAGGGCTTGGCACAGGGTGTAGTAGATAATGTGCTAACGCTTGGTTTAATATTTCACAAGATGCTCGCTAGAGAAACTATTCATCTAAAATAAAATATTTTCAATTTAGGTTATAAATAAAATACAAATATATACCGAAAGTATTAAAAAAAATGCAAATTTGATTGTTCATGACCTAGTATGAAATTTAATTTCGGAAATAATCAAATTGAATTTCTATTTGCGATTTAATTTTAATTACTGAAAAATCTAATTTGAATCCAATAATTTTTTTGTACACTTCATTGTTCTATTTCCAAAATGGAAATTGAAATGCACATTTATATGTAAAAAGTGAATTACATTTGCTATACGATGCATGCGATAAATACTCATGGGTGTAGAGCAAATTATTAAATAAAAAAATACGCTGCATTAATTTTTTGCATTTCAACAGACACTCTCTGTACGTTATATTTTACAAAACTCTTCTGCTACGTGGTCAGGATGAATTGGGGTGCGATGAAACCTGAGGGAAAAAGTTGATGGCAACACAAAGGATGATGGTGGGGGTGTGGGTTGGATCTTAAGGGCGAAATTGTAGTCTAAATAGAGAGGAATACGACGAGCGAAGGCGGTACACGGAAGACGGAGAAAAGATAAACAACAATCAACGTAAAGGTGATTTAGATAGTTACCTTAAAACGCAGGAGAGTCCCTAATTCCACCTAAGTGTGTCATCACCAGCTCTCGCTCACATCCGACATAGCGCTAATCCAAATGAGCAATTTATTCCTGAAGTTGTTATAGTAATAAGTAATGAAGACGACAATGATGCTTTTATTGGAGCTGTTGATTGCTGTGATAATAGTGATGCTGGAGCGGAGAAAGATGATTCCGATGACAATGTTGATGTTATTTGTACATTCAATTCACCCTTACACGCTATTGAATTATCCACTTGGCACATTTTCACTTGAGAATTTCTGATATTGTAGCTCTTTCCCCCGAACTCTCTCTCTCTCTCTCTCTCTCTTTCCTCTTGTCAAAATATATAAAACACTTGTTTATGATTTTCAAGTTATTTTTGATTTTTCTCCATCGAAGATCATCTTTTCGCTTTAGCGGATTTTAATGTTTTTATGAAAAACAGTATACAGAATTTCTTTTAATGACTTTTTTGGGAGCTCAATCAACCGAAAAATGTAGCTTAACTCTTTATGTGACACAAACACTGTGATTAAGTCAATGTTCAAAATGTCAGTTGATGCAGTAAAATCTCTAATTATTTATTGTTCGTGTGTGATTCTTATGTATTCTCCAAAAAATTACTATTTAGCAATATAATTATAGTATTACTTAATAAAGTTCACAATTATCAATAGAAGGACGGTAATTCATTATACATATCTCCAATATTTTTGTTTAGCAAATTAGAGTTTACTTTTTATTTATTACTTTCACAACCACTCGAGAATAGTCAAACGAACGTTCAATGTACAGTTTTTTTTGTTATGCTTTCTATAAAATGGGGTTATCTTGATTTTTTCTGTGCTTAATTTTTTTTTACGTTTAAGATATTAGACAACACTGTAGAACGGAAATTAATTCACAACATTATTACAATTTGTGTTTATACGCGCCACTTTCTTCGCGGAAAGTGTCTTGGAGAAATTTTCCCTTTTTAGCTCATGAAAAAACATTTACACAGTGACATGTGTTTCTTATTACACGTTCACGCGTTTAACAAATAAATATAATTTCCTTTTAGGAATAATTAGTAAACAAATTGTATTATTTTATACACAACCATTACTTTACGTTTTATTATGTGTGTTCACGGTAGATGTGGAAGAAGAGTTGGAAAATAATGTCTTATTTATGTACAATTTAGTGGTGTTTGCAAAATCACTTTTTCTTATTTAGAAAAAAATTTTACATCGAGAAATGGATCAAGTCAAGCAGTGTGGATCTGCAAAGATAGAGAGAGAGAAAAAAGAAATTATATTCCCAAATTTCCTTTATTATATACAGAAGGAAAATTCAGACACTGTGTTGTGAAAAAGAAGTTTCATCTGGTGGCTCATATTTCGATAAAGTGGGCTTTTAATCTAAACTTCTTAAATTCTTTTTGCAGTGGAAAAGCCTACGTAAAGTGTTTTAAAATTGCGCGATCAGTGATACACTTGGCATGTTGTGAATAGTTTGGAGTAATTTACAGCAAACACCTGCGGTTACGCAGGCATTTTGTGTCGCCGACGGAAAATTCTACCCTACCATTATGCTCGTTCAATACATAGAGACTGTCTAGCATAGAATTTGTGACAAAATGCTTGGTGTATCTCAAAATTCATAGGTATTTTTGCTTCGTCTGAATAGTTTTCGCTGGCAAAAGTTGACTCTCTCGCTAAGTATGACTCTCTCGCTCGAGAGCTTTTCACACTCTCTTTTCTAAAGTCGGAAGGTATACACACAAATTAAAAATCTCCTTCAAGTATAGAAAGTATTATAAAATATATTTATATTTGTTTTTTTAGTAAATTATTGCCATTGCATTTGTCTCTTCACACAATTCGTCCTCGCACTGGGAAATACACTCTTTCACGGTTTTACAAAATTTTCAGCAATATTTATCTCTGTTTTTGTTTTGCAACCCGTCGCGGAAGTAATGATAGGTGAAAAGTGGAGAAAAGTCTCAATGTCCGGATTTAGGAGGATTGGAGGCTCTGAGGTGCTCACTCAATTTGACTACAAACAACTGAACAGTATGAAGCTGTCACGGTCGATTTAGTTGTCATATTCGTGAAAATATTATCTTGATCCTTCACTCTCTGTGTTTAACTTGCTTTTTCAACTGTTTGAATTAATGTTGGTAACTCTGTTAAGTTCTTACTACTAAAAAGTCTTCCGTGCACCACAACGCGATCCAACTAATGTTCAAACACTATTTGCCAACTAGTTGAGAAAATTTTCCCGTTTCCATTGCACACCACCAACATTCTGGCATCTGAAGCCCACGAACATTTGTGCCGAACAGGAGCGTCTCTTCCGAGTTCTCGACGCACGATTGCGTACTGACGATGGATGGAAATAGACATCATTTTTCACACAAATACACACAACTCGGGAGCGACGTTACGAGGGCCCCACATTGCAATGGAAAAACCACCGTACGGAATCCTCCTATGTACGAGCCTACGCCATGTACACTGGGTAGTGACTTGGTGGGGCTCGGAAACATCGTGCGGGCACGCGCACGACGCGGCCATGTGGGGCGCAGGGGAAAAGCGTGGCGCATCGAGCAGGAGAGGAGCTACAGCTGTCGATATCAACTGAACTTTCATACATCAAAATGTATACATTTTCTCGCACATAAATACAAATATTTTTCTTTTCAAATAAATACCCAACCGCACACCATTGTTGCCGGAAGACAATCATTTAGGCAAATTGTCCTATATTTCACGCGAAGCAATCACACCAAACATTTCGCATCCAGTTGTCCAATCCACTTGACCCCCCGCGCGCGCGGAGTTTCCATGAATGGGAAGTTTCATGTGAAGAGCCTCGTGTATTTTGGGGGAAAATCAATAAATGATGCATCTTCCACGTTTTTAAACTGCACAGAGTCTGCGTGAAAACTGTGAGAAAACATGGCGACGATTTCGTACATTACCTACATCCACACATATATATCATCTACTCAGCATCATATGTACGTATGTAACGAAAATATAGCATTTTTATGTGTTGCCATATACCATCGTACATCCATCTGTGTGTAAATACCCATTGAAATATGAATATGAGCGCTTAATGTTCATCGAGGATTATTTTAGTGTATTACCTGGAATGGTACATGAAAACTTTGTCAATGATTTTTTTTGTTCGAGCACCTTTTCCAAAAATCCCTCTGGCTTGGAAAAACGCATCGAATAAATTTTCATAAAAGCAATTCCAATATAGAGTACTCCCACTCCCTATCCATTTCCATGTTAATCAAACTTTTTTCTCCTGCCTGTGCAATTAAAAAAAAAAACCCACATCGTATTGGAAAGATGCAATAAATTTGGATCGAGGGCCACAAATATGTATGAATTCACATAAATTTGTTTGGTGCTCGAACTTCACTCCCAAACAAGTTGGAGTCTTTGTGTGCGGCAAAAGTGGAACATAATGGTGTTTCTCGTATGAAAATAATCATTTTATTGTTCAAGGAGAAGGAACTAGAAAAAATCAAAGTTGTAACGTACATAGTGGAAATCCATTAGGAACTTTTCCTGATGCAGCGAAGAGCATAAGAGGGTTGAAAGAACACTTTACTTTCTTTCTACTTTTCGAATTAATTTTCAACAGGACAGAAATGTACTTTATAAGAAACACTCCAAAATACATAAACTACATAGTAACATCAATATACATATGCATGTACACACAGCACTAGAGAATGCTGGATTTCTAGATAATTTTTTTCACTCACACTCCGCACACCATCGTCCGCCCCCGAAACCCGAGAATAAATCCCATTTTTCCCTCCCGACCTGGCTATATAAATGTGTAGGAAAAAGTGTAATTAATTTGTGTTAAGCTCCTATTTCTTCCTCACTAAGTAGAATTTCACCATCTAAAGCTTTTACATCTGTAACACTCATTTTTGTTTTCTTTACTGTTTTTTTTCTCACGCAAGAATAAAGTTAAATGACGGTGGCAAAATTTTTTAAAGGGGTTTATCGAGAAACTTCTGCAGGAAGTTTTTGAAAGAGAATTTTATATATTTTTAGATTCTCGGAAATTGCAAAAATAATTAAACATCAAACAAAATAAAAAAAAAACAAAATTTGCATCATTTTCCTTGCATCTGTTTTTGTGACAGTCCTATAAATAAATGCATAAACATATATTTTAAATTAATTTTATAATTTAATATTTGAGATTGTCGTTCAAAGTGTGAATTTGGATTGAAAACATTATATCGAATTATTAATTTGCTTTTTAATACACTCGCGCTTAGTTATGTTTTTGTTTTAATTAAGCTTGTCTGATAAATTTTCTTTGCATCCTTCAACATTTTCAAGTACATTTTATTAATTGGTCACTACGTTATTAGATTGATAGTCATGCATTTTTCCCGTATCTAGAAAGTTCATCCGGAAATATGGGTCATATGTATTGTAATTTATTTTGCAATTTGTTCGTGCCATAAAATAAATCCGAATCACTCCATTCCAGCCATTATTTCATTCAACGTTATAGCAGAAGATTCTATCGGAATTCTTTCCCTTATTTAAACGATTTTACCGTAAAATTGGACTTGTAGATTTATCACCCAAGTGCGAGGAAGGAAAAAAAATGTCATTCCAATTCCTCGAATAGCTATCAAAATACCAAAGTTTATATAAAATGTATGAGTCTGCAGAGGTTATACACGGCATGATGGTTAAAATACATGTTATACTTGTGATTTTGAACTATGACATGGGCCGAGGGGCGTTTGGGGGTTGAAGGTGAGTAGGAGACGGGAAAAAATATTTATGAATATCTCAGAAGAATCAAAATGAGTTTGCCAGAGCAGATTTTCACATTGGTATCAGTTTTCCTCAGGAGAAATATTCCGGGGATGGAACATTTTTCAGATGGAGCAATATAAGGATACCTCAAGTATATTGACAAGTGCTTCCTCTTTCACCTTGCACTGTGTCAGTTGCCGTGAACACTGTGCAAATACATTTGCGCCTCGTGTTCACCCTCATCCCTACAACCTTCCATATTCCCACCGCATATAGTTATTGCCAAGACGGGGGTAATTCATTGAAATGCGGCGGGAAGAGAAATAAAAAGGATGAGAATTGCTTGGGGAAATATGAAAGGAATTATTTAGCAATAAATCTGTACATATGTATCAGTTGTTTGGCAATGCATAGCACAGGCAATTCTTGTGTGTGAAATTGTGGTAAAAGGTGAATATTTAATAAAGTGGATGTTTTTTCCTC